ACAACCCCAAACTATTATTGACCGACCACTGTGATTCACAGTGTGCCTTACATGATGCGCTTAGGCTTAATTTGGGCCTTTGATCCAATACCATGCCCGGCCATCTGATTGAAAGCTATTAATTTAGTCTTGTCAGTCCAAATAACCCTCAATTAAATCTTAAAAATGTGTTTTTTATTGCATTCTGTAAGGCCTAACATATCCCAATAGGCAACGGTCCGGTTTTCGTGCGATACAGCAAAACACTGCCACACTCGCACATGTATTTTGATAAAATTTGCTTTTTTCTTCTTTTATGATCCATTGCGCTCAATTTGGCAATTTTTCGCCTCACTGTCTACTGATTTGCATTCAATTTTAATACCTTAAGCGCTTCTGTAGTAGTGCCTGCAGCGCTACTTGCTACTAAGTTCACAAGATATCGGACTGTAATATATTTTGACAGACTTTCTTTGTCCTTAGTAACACTTTAGGCTATATTTTTTCTCAGTCTTAACATTTTCCAGTAGTTTGCCATATCTTCGCAATTTTTTGCCACTTTCCCTGCGTTGTTATTCCACGATTGTTTATTAGGAAAAATTGAAAAAGCAACAAAGTCTAAGCGGTAGAAGTTATAGCACTATTTCGGAGATCACCACATCTCCTCATCAGACTTCTTTTTTNGATTGTTTATTAGGAAAAATTGAAAAAGCAACAAAGTCTAAGCGGTAGAAGTTATAGCAGCTATTTCGGAGATCACCACAATAATAAACAATCGTGGTAAAAAAGCTCATTAAAAATAAAATGTTAATAAGCCACAATAACATTTAAAAATACATAGTTTAGGAAGAGCCTGCCCGAAACTATACAAAAAAGCAAATAAGCAAATGGATGTATGGAATTGACAACAACAACCACGCTGTCGAGTTTAAATAGCGGCAAATCAGCTGCACTTGATAGTAGTTGGTTGAATAAGGAAAATGAATTAGCAACATGAGTTTACGGGATTTACATAGCTCAGTGGTTAACGCTTCTGACTTTGAACATCGATTACGCAGGTTCGATCCCTGCTGAAGTCTAGAAAAAAGAAGTCTGATGAAGAGATGTGGTGATCTCCGAAATAGCTGCTATAACTTCTACCGCTTAGACTTTGTTGCTTTTACAATTTTTCCCAATAAACAATCGAGGGAAAAAAAGCTCATTAAAAATATTAAAAATAAAATGTTAATAAGCCACAATAACATTGACAAATACATAGTTTAGGAAGAGCCTGCCTGAAACTATACAAAAAAGCAAATAAGCAAATGGATGTATAGAATTGACAACAACAACCACGCTGTCGAGTTTAAATAGCGGCAAATCAGCTGCACTTGATAGTAGTTGGTTGAATAAGGAAAATGAATTAGCAACATGAGTTTACGGGATGTACATAGCTCAGTGGTTAACGCTTTTGACTTTGAACATCGATTACGCAGGTTCGATCCCTGCTGAAGTCTAGAAAAAAGAAGTCTGATGAAGAGATGTGGTGATCTCCGAAATAGCTGCTATAACTTCTACCGCATAGACTTTGTTGCTTTTTAAATTTTTCCTAATAAACAATCGTGGTAAAAAAGCTCATTAAAAATATTAAAAATAAAGAGAATTAAATTTATTTTTTATTTATTTATTTATTTAGCTTCAACGCAACAGCCGTTGGCTATATTTNATCAAATGACATAAAAATTTTCCAAATCCTTGAAGAGGTTTTCGAGAAATATTAATTTAAAAAAATGTTGTTGTTTCCCAATAAAATATATATATTTCGTTATGTTCACTTGAATGATCTCTATCGATCGCATTTTTAATTTTTTTTAATTCGAGAATTGTAGGTAGGCATTTGTTCCATTAGTTTTTATACATTTGTGATGCTTTAAGTGTAAAATTTCACGAAATTCTGCATTAAAATGCAATATTCCAATGTTGAAAATCCGCACAACAATCTTGTGAAGTTAATGTAAATAAGATGGAGCAAAACTGGTATTGCCACTCTATTAAAAATAAAATGGAGGTAAATTGCTGCTGCCACTCTCTTAAAAAAGGTTTTGTGCGTCCAACTGCTTTTTGCGTAGGCGGCCTTCGGCCACGCTAAGGGATTATAACCCTCACTACGTAGAATTCTCCTTTCTGTGTTGGCAAAGAAAATGGACTGAACACCTTTGCAGAGAACACCATTTTGCGTAGGCGGCCTTCGGCCGCGCTTAGGGATTATAATCCTCACTACGTAGAATTCTCCTTTCTGCGTGCTAAGAAAAGGAACAGAAATCCCCTTTTCACAAAAGTATATTTCTTGGGTGTTTTTAAAGTTGAAATACAAATTGTATTAATAGAGTGGCAGCACCAGTTTTCCTCCATCTTATTTATATTAACATCACTATATTGTTTGTGCGAATTTTCAACACCGGAATTTTGCAATTAAATACAGAATTTTGCGAAAATGTACACTTAAAACATCACAAATGTACAAAAACTTATAAATACGTGTTAAGTGAGTTCATTTACTCCATTTATATGTATCAAATTCATCAAAACATAGTGCGAATAGTGCAAGTGTTTTTTGCGAGTAACTATTTAATGAATCAAAAATGTTAATTTCCGGTCTCGGATTATTATTATTGGCGTCAAGGCGCGTCGATTGATACCACTATCGGTCTATTTTGACCTGGTTTCACTAAAGTGCACTACTACCGAAAAAAGGATATGAATTAGAACTATGGATTTCTAATGCTCACATTATACAATAGATGTGTGGGGATTTCGGCTGATTTGGAAGACCACCCTTGGTCACGTACAAAACGTATTTACCAAGAGGAAAAACCGTGGGGATTTCAGTAGTTTTCCTTGCAATCACCGTTGATGATGCTATGCTTGTAATTTATGGTCTGAAAAGATAGAAAATTGCATTAACTAAATGTGTAACACATCAAATGAAAAAATTTCAATAATTTTTGCCATTTCACAAACCGAATTAACAAGAAATAGCAACGCACCGCGATGCGATATAGAAATAAAAACCAACAGGGCTTCCTTTTTTTGGTAAACAACACAAGCGCTCAGAGCAATCTGATCCGCAATATTATTTTGTGAAAAATAAGAGTGGAAAATAGTTTTTAAACATGATTATCACATTATCTGATTACCGCACACTATTGTGTTTATTTTTTGTAGAATTCTATCTATTGGCTACAAAAACAAAAACCCTTTCTACTGGTATACTGTGGTATGAACTGTCGGCTAAAATAGCTCGCGCATCGCTCCGGGTCCGACGAAGCGTGGTCGCCAAAAGATATTCAACTCTGTCGTCACGCTGCGTTGGATTGGACAATGACCTCACGGTAGACCAAAGCTTGCTCACACCAAAGTCGAAGTGGCAGGTCTTCAAATGCTCTTCCCACTTCTTCCGCTCATGTACGCTCACTAGGCCACCACCATTATCTGGCTCGCGATCTCGACGGTGCATATTTTATCCGACGCAATACAACAATGTTAAGACGAATCATAAAACGTGTGGTGCGTGACGAACGCTAGGCCACCACCATTATCTCGCTCGTGATCTCGACGGTGCATATTGTATCCGGTGCAATTCAACAAAGTTGGAAGTGCATTGAGTTGAATTGTAGCACCTTTTTGTGCCTTGGGAGACCAATTGTGATGTGGGATGTAAATGAGTTCAGTTGCCCGCCGGCCCCCTGCTGTATGTGCTGCAGATGAGGGTGCTGCCTTGTGGTGGTGGTGGTGGGCGGCGTCGCGGGGGTAATTTGCGGTTGGGCAGCACAGCAGGGGCCACGTAGTCACTCCTCCAATCATGCGGGTTGCGGGGTCCGGCATACGCCTTAAAGTGGCACCAGCCAACGCTGGAGTTGCAACTGACTGATGTCGCGTTACGGTATATTCTGGACTGACAAACTGAGCAGATTTTTGGAGGGACTAAGAGTTGTCGGCGGCGGTGTGTGGGTGGAGGTGCTGTAGTGTTCGTATGCATGTGCGTCTATTGTTGTGTCGTGTTGGGGTGTGGATGTGTTACGTGTTATGCTGCTCGGGCGAGTGCTGGTTTGCCGTGGAGGCGGTCCGATTCGCACAGCATGGGGCCACGAATGACGTGGTCCACTGCCGGGGCGTACGTAGGCCCGAGCAGGTGCGGAGATGACTCCACCCGTCACAGGCGTTGCACCCTACCGAGGTGGAGTTTGCGTGCAATCGTCTCTGGCATACGCAGCAGGTGCATATTTCTGGCCCTGGGTTTGACTATATGCCAGCCCTGAGTAGAAAGATACGGAGCAGATGTAGCCCCATTATCGAACAACGTTTGATGAATTTCGCTGACCTAAACGGGGTTGGATCGCGGAAACAACAGCCTTTGGTCGGGTAAAACGCGGGTCACTCTGATACATAGAACCAGCTTTGTGTACACTGTCGGGTCCAGTGGTTGTTTTATGAACATCTGGCCTTCGTCCATCGGTTTGTATATGTCTTTAGACGGAGCCTTAGCGACGGCTCTGCCACAAGCAGATGTCTGTTCGGGTGCCCACGTCTGTGGCACCCTACTTAGAACTGCTTGAGCAGCATGGTGTTGTGCTCTCAGATGGGGAGCACTTGGGCCTTCTCATACAGGTGGGGTTTTGGAAGCTTTACATCTACGTGCAGTGCAGTCCACGGCAACCACACGGGCGCTGCATGGTTTTTAACCATGCATTTGAGGTTGCCAAGTATGCCTATCACAGTCAGGTGTTTATGCCACGAGAAATGAGCGATGTTCAGAACAGAAGTGATGCAACAAAGAATGGAAATACTTATGAAACAAAAAGGTCTTATGCACACTACCAAATCTAAATTTTTATATTTTAAGATACTTTTACTGGCAACAAAATTCATCAGAAAGGGAGTCACAGGCGTTCACATCAGTGTGTGACGCCACTTATTCTTTTGCTAAGGAAAGCATTTATATGAATTAATATTTGAATATATACTATTCTTTTTCATTACAGGTACGTGTTTTAAATGCAATGAGCGGGTTTTAGGAGAAAACTCAGGCTGTACAGCAATGGAACAAATATATCACATTGCTTGCTTTACGTGTACACAGTGTAAAATTAATCTACAGGGTAAACCTTTTTACGCGTTGGATGGAAAGCCGTTCTGTGAATATGATTACTTGCAAACATTAGAAAAATGTTCCGTATGCATGAGACCTATATTGGAGCGCATACTTCGTGCGACTGGCAAGCCGTATCATCCTCAATGTTTTACCTGTGTTATTTGTGGAAAGAGTCTTGATGGTATACCATTCACAGTAGATGCCACTAATCAAAACTATTGTATATCCGATTTTCACAAGTAAGTTGCCGAATCCCAAAAGAAATACTCAATCTGTGTAAAAATTCATTTTACCTACATAAGGAACCCTGGTACTATCCTTCATTAAACATCTAACTAGTTTAATAGATTTCGTTAACAAAAACCAATTAAAATAAAAATACCCGAAGCACATATCCAGAGCATATTCACAGCAGAACAGTTTTCTGCGTTTGCAACACTGCGCATAATGTCGCTTCAAGACGCAGAGAGACAAAGGTAGCACCATCGGCAGTACCGATATTTTGTTCTCAGCGGTTTTTGTGACGCCATGATAGAATTAAGGTTTATTTTTAAGGTCTTTTTACTAGTTTTTGCTAGCAGAAATATTTAGCTAAGAATTTATGCAAAAATTTTTCACTGGCAGAGCCTTTCTTTACTCTTCGTTCTTTCTGAGTGTAATATTAAGTTTTTATTTTCTATATATTATTACGCCACAAGAAAATTTTGCAATCCCTTTTTTGAAGACACCATGAGCTCGATTTCAATGAAACATACACCGATTTAAAGGACATAACTTCCTCTAATCCAAAAATGTTTATCCCGATACATAGGGGGCGTAGCATCTGACATATAGACTAAAATGTGAAAACCACTATATCTCTAAAACCAATTATGGAAATGAAACTTAACACAGATGCATAGATTGTACTTACGGTGAAAAATGGTAGGTACTGGGAAAGTGGGCGTGGCACTTCCTATACAAAATAAAATTCTCATATCGCTTATCTCTGGAACCGCCTATGCTAACGTCCTGAAATTTGACACAGCAACATATGTTGTGAATACCGTACTTATGGCGAAACGTGGTAGACAATGGGAAATATCGCTTATCTCTGGAACCGCTTGTGCTAACATTCTGAAATTTGGCACAGTTATTTATGATATCAATCACGTACTTATGGCGAAAAGTGGTAGATAACGGGAAGGGGGGCGTGGCACCACCCGTACAAACAGAAATTTTCATATCGCTTATCTCTGGAGCCGCCTATGTTAACGTTCTGAAATTTGACACAGGAACATATGTTGTCAATACCGTACTTATGGCGAAGCGTGGTAGCCAATGGGAAAGGGGGTGTGGCACCGCTCATACAAACTGAAATTCTCATATCGCTTATCTCTGGAACCGCCTACGCTAACGTCCTGAAATTTGACACAGCAACATATGTTGTCAATACCGTACTTATGGTGAATAGTGGTAGATTTTGGAAGAGGGGGCGTGGCACCGTCCATACAAACTGAAATTCTCATATCGGTTATCTCTGGAACCAATTATTATAAGGTGATGGAATTTTATACACCTGGTTTTATACACATATAAATTTGCAAGAATCATTCAATTGGAAACCACTTTCTCCCAGATTTTAAAATCGCATTGAATGATTGCTGTCTCGTTAGAGGGATCAGTATGTTTGGCTTCCGATAGGTGCCGCAGGGATTGAGAGCTATCCTAAAAAACCATATTTATGATCAGATTTGTTTCACTTTTAGAACACATATTAGTAACATAATTTGGTATAACTTGGTAGCCAAATCGTGTGATGAAAACATATATTGGGCTCTGGCCCATTCTTGATAAAACCCCATGTGAAACCGCCGTTAGAGAAGGAAATATTATCTTTTGTTGTAAACCTTCAAGATACTTTTGAAACGCACGCCTTTACTTGAACGGAAGTGTGAGCGTGAGCATGTGTTAGTGCAAACATAGTAGCCATAATGCCACAGAAGTGCTGGCAACATATGTTGTGGTCAAGTTTGCATCATGTACCGCCAGCAATATATGTAGCGTTTGGGACATGTAGCACTAGCAACAAATGCATCGGTGAAGCGGTGTGAGTGTGTGAATGTGAATGCGGTATCTGGTCATGGGACCGTTGAGCCGAATTGCGGTTCGCCTGAGTGAAATTTTGTTGACCTAGACACCCGAATAAAAGGTCCTAAAGATGACCAACGGATTCATTATAGTGGTGACATGTTATTCGAACGTGCAAGTGAAAGTGCAAAGTTTCCTTAAGATAGTGTGAAAAAAATATTAATAAAAATAAATCGGTCCATAACCCGCACAGCTAGCGGTCCCGCACATATATCGCAAACCGTCCGGTGAAGAAAATTTGGAGATATCGTCGAATTTGGCTAATTGGAATAGGAAGTAAGCTCTAAAGATTCCTATTAAAGGTGTAGAAATCAAGTGTTTTGCGTTACTAGTGCCGCCATAACAAATAAGCATAACTAAATGCTTATGTACGTGTACGCACAGAAGGTTTATGTTAATATATGTGTGTGATATGCAAGTGTACATAAGCGTAGCATAGCGAAAATCCGACCATAACGATTAAAATGTGTGTGTTTTGTTTTTTTTCGCCCTCCGAGGAATTGAAAAGGACCTCCACTTACCTTTAACTATAGTCGAGACAATAGAGGAGTTATTGTGACCCCCACGGAGGAAGGAACTTCGCCGTTATAAAGTTGACAGTAATATATATCTAAAAATGGACATCTGTGTCACCCATACCCAACCACCAAATTTTGCACCACCACTACTGGTCGGAAAGTCGCAGATACTTTGGTGAGAGATACCCACTTCCATAAGAAACCAGCAGCAAAAGCGGATTTTGGTGTCTAAGCCAGGATCAACGTAAGAAGCTGACCACCTGCTCTATAGTGAGCCGAACCTACTCGTAGACACGTGGTAGCCAGAGCATCGATGGCGTCAATATCCCCAGCCCTACCAGCTGTGGATGAAAAAAAAAGTCACTCCAGTTTTATTGAGTTTTTTTCTTGTATTCATTCGAAATGTTGCTCAGTTAGAGTTTTTTTCTTGTATTCATTCGAAATTTTGCTCAGTTGGAGTTTTATTGAGTTTTTTAGATATTAAGAGAGTTTTCAAAGTACATATAAGTTTTGAAGTATATAGTTTTTTTTTAAATAGCAATATTACTAAGAGAAGAGTTGGTTTTGTATTACTTACCTAGTTTCTTCCGTCCATTTTCCTTTATTCCTTTTTTTTTGAGTTTTTTTGTATGAGATTTCAGTTTTTACACAGTTGATCACATTTCTCTTTTTTTCCACACAGTTTCTCACATCTTTTTTTACTGGAATTTATTAGTATAATAGCGGTTTCCTATTTTTTTTTTTTTGCACGTTTTGATCGGCCAATTATCAATTTTCTATATTGATTTGATTTGGTTTGAATTTTTATATATATTTTTTGTAACTTTTATTTTATTGGTTTGAATTAGAGATGGGCACGGGCCCCTGCGTAAGCCCGCGGGTACGGGCCAGAATTTTTGCTGTCAGCACGAACTCGTGCGTGCATGGGCGTTCAGTAAAATTTCACAAAAGCACGAAAAAGCCCGTTGCTAATACTACAAATTTAGATAAACTTTTGTTTTTATACAAAAAAAAAAAAATAGTACATATTAAAACTCTTTTGATAAAAGAAAAGCAAAAAAATAAATATTTGGGAACCGATAGAAAAAATTAGCTACGTAGTAGTTTTGTTTACATATCTGTACATAAAATACCCTCCACTTTTTCAGCTTCCCAGAAAATATATTATACAAATCTTTGATGTAAAAAATTGATTCGCTTAAGTAAATATACATACATAAACACAAAATTAAAAATATGTACATATGTATACATACAATAAAAGTTGGTTTTTTATTTCCGGGCTGGGACGTGTCCCGCGTGCCGGGCCGGGTTGGGCCGGGCCCCACTAAAATTCTTATAGTGCGGGCTCGTGCGTGTTTTTGAAAGTTGATTTTGCACTCGTGCCGGGCCGGGCTTGAAAATTTAGGCCCGTGCCCATTTCTAGTTTGAATCACTAAAATCAACCCCCCTATTATGAATTTCCATACGATAAACGATAAACGCTTGCAAGCGTATCGTATGAAATCAGTATTGGTATTGTCGTTTTCATACGCCCGACTGATACACTATTGTGAATGACCGTGGTTTTTGTTTAATTTATTTTGTAAAATTGAGAACGAGCAATAAAATAAAAATTAAAGGACATCTTTTCTACAATTACGTTTTTTATAAATTTAAATGAAGGAAGTAATGAGACTCGCATAGAAATTTAAGAGATGCTTCGAATCCTCTGGAAATGAATTCTATATTGTAGGTAGCTCATAAATGTAGATTTAAAAGCTTAATTATTAAGAAGCGCTTTTACTTTTCAGAGGAATTTCCGACTTTCCAAGGAAGCAGTTATTTATATCCTGAATTAAGTAGAAAACAAATTGCGTGTACGGAAAAATAAGTCATCCATACCAAATATAATAAAGGTCTGCGCAACTCTAAGATTTGTAGCCCAGGGATCATATCTACAGAGTGTTGGTAATGAGGCGTTACTTGGTTTAGCCCAACCTACTGTTTCCATTGTATTGAAAGAAACATTGAGTGCTTTGCAAACCACTCTATGTAGTAAGTGGATTAGCTCCAAGTATACTGAGGAAGAAAAGAGAAGAGCAAAATCTAGCTTCTTTGCATCAAGTGGTATTCCCGGAGTAATTGGATGCATTGACGGAACCCACATTAAGATTGTGGCACCAGAAAAAAGTTTGCAGCATTTGTATTACTGTCGAATAGGGTATTTTAGCATAAATGCAATGCTAGTAAGTAAAGAAATTTCTATACAATAATTTAAAGTATTTTAAGTTTAATGTTTTTTCCTGTTACAATCTTGCGCCCGTTTTAGACCCGTGATGATTTAAATATATAAAATACATCAATGCCAAGCACACCGGCGCTTCACATGACTCCATGGTTTTTCAAATGTCGGGATTAAAAAGACAATTGGAGTCAATGTATAACCGTGGTGACTCTAACACCTGGTTATTAGGTACTCAACTTGTAACTCAAACATTTTAAATTTAATTTATTTACTTTCTATGTTTTAAGGTGACGCTGGATACGCCTTAGCGCCTTATTTGCTAACACCTTACAGGAATCCTGAAGAAGGTTCAGTAGAAAGTTTA